TTTATTTTTTTCTTTCCAGGGTGAAATATGACCTGAACATTTCTTAGTGTGATTGTTATTCATCATACTGTATAAGATTACATTTTAACTTTAGAGAGCCTGATTACACTGATTGAAAGAGATTATATTATAGATCACAATGCTGTTTAATGCATTACCCATAATCCTTTGCTCTTTTGACAGGGTCCTCCTGGTCGCTCTGGTCTGCCTGGAGCTGACGGTCTTCCAGGACCTCCAGGGACTGTCCTGATGTTGCCTGTATGTAAATCTGAGCACAATCACCAGATACACACTTACAAAAACTACACATTAAAATGACACATAAACAACTGATTGATACACGTTTGCACGTCTTTTAGCTTTTACAATTTAAAGCCCCATTTCACTGTACTGAGGTCAGTTTTAGCCTGTAGACGAGATCTACAGTGCGTCATAATGAATGTCCAGAGCCGTTAGTTCTTGTGCTGGCTTGATTTATTTTCGGAGTGGTTTAACAGTGATAATTATGTCAGAGAGATATCAGAAACATAATGCTCCCTTTGCTGCCGTGTTTCCCCATCAATCACACGCTGGTTAATGCAGTCATTATGCAGAGATATTTCACAAATTCCACATCATACTCTCAGCTTTTCCAAATTTCCTCTTTCCCAGCTGTTACTCCGATACAGTTTTTTTTTTTTTTTAATTCCAGAACGTGTATCGACTTCACAATGTCGAGAGTTCTGGAATGCTTCCATGGCAAATCCAGATGTTCTAAACACCACATTAAAAATGAGGTTGTCCGTGTTGTATATGTGTTTATAGTCAACATGTGATTGTAATTAAACCCCACCCTAAACACTACCTCTCCTCACCCCCCCAAAATACCCATGAAAATCAATACAGAGCCATGAAGCACAGATTCACTTTGAAACTAGTGGTCATACTCTTGGAAGTGTAGTGATTGAGTTCAGCCACTAGATGGCAGTGCTGAATAACTTGACTCCTGTACACAGACAGAGGCACAGAAACACTGCATACTACCATACTAGTCATACTACTAGTCATACTACTAGTCATACTATTTCTGCCGTATCTTTACATGGAAGAAATAGTAAGAGTAGTATGCTAGTCTGAATTCAGCTCTAGAGTACATTTGGAATTACATGCTACCACACGTATTTTATTTTAGGTATGTATGTATTTTTTTGTTTTTGCAGTACGTACTGTACACTACTGCAATTTTCAAATTATTTTTTAGTTTATTTTACATATAATGAACTTTTTAAAAATAGATTAAACAATTTAGAACTATTTTATTTTAAAATACATTATTTTATTTTTGCCTGTTTTTATTTGAACATAAAATGAATATTTTAAAATTTTTACTTTAGAGTTATTTTATTTGGATATATACTGAACATTTTCAACTAGGTGAAACACTTTAGATCTATTTTATATTATTTTATATTCAAATACATGATTTTATTTTAGTTTTTTAACATACAATGAACTTTTTCAAATAAATGAAACACTTTGGAACTATTTTATTTTTAAATGCATTATTTTATTTTATTTGAACATATAATGCTTTTTTTAAATAGATGGAACACTAGATCTATTTCATTTTAAATGCATTATGTTATTATTATACTTTTTTTTTGAACATATAATGAATATTTTAAATTGGTGAAACACTTTAGAGTTATTTTATTTTAAATGCAATTATTATTTTTTTTATTATTATTTTTATTTGAACATATAATGAATATTTTAAAATTGGTGGAATTGGTGTTATTTTAATTTATTTTATTTCATTTCGTTTTATTTTATTTGATCATATACAGAACTTTTTTAACTAGGTGAAACACTTTAAATCGTACTAAACACTTTAAAACATATAATTAACATTTTTTAAGAGGAATTTAATTTTTTGCAATAACTGGATGCCACTCATTGAATGTAGCATGTAACCTGTGTTTTGGATTCCACAAAAAAAAAGGTTAAGTTAATGTTAAGATAAAATAAATGTATATATTATTTAAAAATTGTATTGAAATATTTTATTTTCAAGTACTTTAATTTAATCTTGATTTAATTTGATCATATGTTGAACATTCTAAAACAGGTGGAACATTTTTCACTTTGCTGTCATGTCTAAAGTAAACTATCATAGTCTAAATGAGTTGATGAGTTGGTTCTGTCTCTGTAGTTCCGCATGAGTACAGGAGGCGACAGCGGACATAAAGGTCCTGCAGTTTCTGCCCAAGAGGCTCAGATGCAAGCCATCATGCAGCAGGCCAGGGTAAAAACACACACTTACACCAATACACACTATATTTCACACACACACATCTCTATGCAAACTAATTGCTCTGTGTCATTATCATATAGCTGGCGATGAGGGGTCCAACCGGACCCATGGGTTTGACGGGCCGTTCCGGTCCTCTGGTACGTCTGTATATCTGTCTTCAGTCTGTCGAAATGATGATATCTATGATATTATGATGAGTCTGATATGTTTCAAGCTTGATTTGATTTTCCCAGGGTCCTCCTGGTGTTTCTGGACTGAAAGGAGAGTCTGGGGAATCAGGACCTCAAGTAGGCATCACAGATTACCCACAATCCTCAGCTATTTGACAGTATTTGAAGACCTTTTAATGCAGGATAGAGCTGTTGTGAGACCTGTGTGTGTGTTTTTAGGGTCCTCGTGGTCCACTGGGATCCATAGGCCCTCCTGGAAAGCCTGGTAGAAGGGTACGTTTGCGTTTTGTTGTTGTTATTATTAACCCGATCATTCTGTATAAAAATTTATAAACAAGAATTCTGTTGGCTTAGGGTCGACCCGGCTCAGATGGAGCCAGAGGGATGCCTGGACAGACGGGACCAAAGGTAAAACTAATGAGATAAATATATTTTAGCATAACACACAATAATGAATTGTGCACAATAAGATGCCAGAAAGTAAAAAGGGTCAATTGTGATTTCATGTAGAGAAAGTACAGTAGTTTCTTATTTATAAAATGTTAATATCCTGCCATTCTGAACTGTTTCCTGTCTGTGTGCTTCACAGGGGGACCGAGGATTCGATGGGCTCGCTGGTTTGTCTGGAGAAAAGGGTCACAGGGTAAACACGTTTTAAAATAAGTCTTATTTGAGTATAATTGAGATAGTATTTTAGTATTTTTTTAATCAGTTTTTATTTTTATATTTTATTTTATATTTGTCATATTTCATATCTTTTTTAATATATGTCTGTATTGTTTTTATTAATTTTTATTTCAGTTTTCGTTTTAGTTATTTTAGTATGTCAAATGAAACTTAAAAACTCAAATTAAAATTAACAATGAGTCGAATTTTTAAATTTTATTTTATTTCAATTAACAATTTTTTTTAATGAAATTTAGTTTGAATGAACTATAATAACTGAATTATTTCAGTTGAGAGCAACATTTAATGTCCATTTTTTTAATTTATTTTGCAGTCAAAGCATCACAGTGTAAACACGTTTATGAACATTTTAAAATAGGTGAAACACTTTAGTTGAACAGCTATTTAATTATATATTTTATTTTATTTTCAAATACATTTTATTTTATTTTTAAATGGCTTTCTGCAATACATTATTCTGATTTGGCCAATTTTAATAAAATGATTTTAGTTAAGGCCAAATGTAATATCCATTTGTTTATTTATTTGGCAGTAATCCTGTAAAAAGGAGGGTGATTCATTCTATGAAAACTAATGAGTGTGTCTTTGTCATTGTTGTTGTAGGGTGAGACAGGTCCTCAGGGGCCACCTGGGCCTTCAGGAGAGGATGGAGAAAGAGTATGAGCTTCTTATTTTAATCCCTTCCTGTTTCCTTCATCATCAGTGTTATTGTCCTATATGTAAATCAATCTTGACGTCATGATGACATCATTTCCTGTATCCCAGGGCAATGATGGTGAGGTCGGACCCAGAGGTCTGCCCGGAGAATCGGTGAGTTCATATTTCCTCCAGTATCCCAGCATTATCCTCTGTTATCCACTAGATCATACATAACGCTTCCACAGATCCATGTCACTCATTTTTTGAGGTGTCCGCTGCATTTTACTCACTCTGGATGTGAAGTGAGAGAAACATTCAGAGACAGAAAATATAGTAGAGTTAAATAAGTTTAAGTTTAAGTTTAAGACAGCAGGTGGCGCTCCATGTTCACCATTTAGTTTGAGAGTGACTTCATCTGCTCTTGCATGTACACATAAACACAATCAGTAGTATTTTAGGCTCCTGTTTGAAAATGTAGCACATGAGATGAAGAGTCATTTAAGTGGCATAGAAAAAGCTCCTTTTTTCATGTTGAGATCACATGACTGGGCTAACACTGTTTTATTTTATTTTATTATTTTATCATTTATTGAACATTTAAAAAAGGTGGAACACATATCTATTTGATCTTGTTTCTAAATGCATTATTTTATTTTTAGTTTATGCATATACGAAATAGACAGTACTCATGTTTAAAATATAGCACATGAGATGAGGAGTTATATAAGTTGCATAGAAAAAGCTGTTTTATTTATGTTGAGGTCACATGACCGGGTGAATGCTACCCACTTTATGTCAGTAACGCCTCTATTATCAGACACTTTCAGCTGAACACAACTCTCTGTTTCTCCATCTTCTCTTTTTCAGGGTCCTCGTGGTTTGTTGGGCCCCAAAGGTCCCCAGGGGCCCCCTGGACCTCCCGTGAGTATAAACTTCATCTTTATCTGAATTAGTTAGTTTTCATCTGAATCTAAGTCATTAACCTTCATGGTATTTATTTACTTACAAATAAATAGCTTAATTATTAATGTCTTAATATTTTTTAAATGTGAGAATATATAAATGTGTAAATATTTTTTAAACATGTTAAATTCGTTTTTATTTATTTTGATCCTTCTTTTATCATTTTAGGGTGTGACTGGTATGGACGGACATCCTGGACCTAAAGGAAACATTGTAAGTGTGAGACAAACACACACACACACACACACACATGCACACACACACACACACACACACACACACACACACTTCTGTACATACAAACTTGCTTCTGCACACACACATATTCACATTATTATGCTTCTGTTTTCACCCGTCAGGGTCCTCAAGGTGAGCCAGGACCTCCAGGACAACAAGGCAACCCCGGAGCTCAGGTATTCATCAAGCCACACCCACTCAGATATTATCTAACCCACCCATCGTTGACTTCATTAACCAGTCAATATCCTCTAATTCTGTCCTCTTTCACAGGGACTTCCAGGTCCTCAGGGAGCGATCGGACCTCCAGGAGAGAAGGTGAGATCGCATGTGTGGATGATCGATGGAAGGATGCTTCTCTGGTTAATGGATTAATGCCTTTATATAGAGTTTGTATGTGTGTGTGTAGTGTTCTATTGATAATGTTTATGTTTTATGACAAGACATTTATTCTTAGTGATGAAGATTATAGTACATTTCATAAGTACACTACTGTTCAAAAAGTTTAAGGTTAAGTTTTTTTTTTTGAAAGAAATTAATCATTTTGTTAATCAAGGATGCATTAAATTGATAAAGACAGTAAATACATTTACATATAACTGTATAATGTTACAAAAGGTGTGTATGTCAAATAAATGCTGTTCTTTTCAACTTTCTACTCATAAAAGAATCCTGTGAAAAATGTATCAGGGTTTCCAAAAAAAAACTATTTTCAGCATTGATAATAATAAGAAATGTTTCTTGAACGGCCAGCAAATCAGCATATTAGAATGACTTCTGAAGGATCATGTGACACTGAAGACTGCAAATTCAGCTTTGCATCACAGGAATAAACTACATTTTAAAATATATTGAAATAGAAAACAGTTATTTTAAATGGTAATAATATTTCACAATATTTTTAGATTTTACCGTACTTTTGATTAAATAAATGCGGCACTGATGAGCATAAGAGGCTTCTTTCAAGAACAAAAAAATCTTACAGTTTATAAACCTTTGCATTTCTAAATTGAAATTATTATTATTTTATTTTTATTTTTGCTGGGCTTAAAGATTGCAGATTGTAATAAAGAATATATAAATAAATTATTGTTTATTATTAACAGTTTTATTTGATTATTATTATTATTATTATTATTAGTAGTAGTAGTATATAATATTTAAAAAAAAGATTTGACTGCCAAATCAAAGCCATTTTACGGTTATGTGACAAGAAAACCATAAATCAAGAAACTATATGATTTGAAAATAATAATGACAATGTGTACATTTGATTCAGTTTTACTTTTACTTACACCGCTTGATATTTTTTATAGTCATTAAAGTAAAATATTAATTGAAAATGGTTTTTTTTCAACCCTGAATGGATACAAAGCTTACATATTTAAGAATTGAGCACATACTTTTAAAGCAGATTTTCATAATTCTGGACATTGATATTTGTCATTAACCCTTCTACACACTGACCACTTTAACGTATTGATCGCTCTACTGGATGGTCTTCATGAATGTGTGTTGAGACAGGAAGTGTGTGCTGAGTGTTAATGGACTGAGTGCTTATGCTGGTTTTCCTCTTCTCAGGGTCCTACTGGAAAACCAGGCTTATCGGGAATGCCAGGAGCCGATGGACCTCCGGTGAGTCCGGGAAACACATACACACGCTTCACGTCTGATCATCTCAAGCTCTATTGTTTGTGTATCAGTACAGTAATAATTACAGTACAGTGATCTGCCTGGCAGTTCTTCACAGACACACATTGTTCGCATCTATTCTCAATGCCTATTCTATCCACATTTCATGGTTTTATATCTAATTACTGCAGCATAACGTGTCATTTCTCTTTATCTTTGTGTCACAAACACAGGGCCACCCAGGAAAAGAAGGGCCATCCGGAGAGAAAGGACATCTGGTATGTTTATCCTTCATTCCTCTATCCGAAGAGTTAATTTACAGACACTTCTCTTGTACAAATGTAGCTTCAGATGTGATCAATAAGTCGATCGATAACTGATTGTGTTTTACAGGGACCTCCTGGTCCTCAGGGGCCGATTGGATATCCTGGGCCTCGAGGTGTAAAGGCAGGTGTTTTTTAATCCTCACTGGTCATAGCAGAACTCATAACGATCTCTTATTGGTCCGTGTGTATTGTAGTTCTGTAGTAGTAAGATGTCAGTGAAAAGTCACCCAACTTATTTTGCCTCTAACTTTTTCCTCATAATGAAATGGAGACGGCACCCTGCCAGTGTTTCTGATACTTTCCTGAGGCAGAATCATCTGAACTTTATAGCCATCTTCCAAAATGTCCAAAAGTTGCGTACCTAGACAGCATTTTAGGCATCAAAGACAACTTCTGAGATAAGTTCTTTTGGCCAAAATGTAAGGAAGTGCAGGTAATTCACTGATGATTCCAATTTGAATGTGATGAGGATACATTTCCCAATTATTATGTTATATTATATTAGATTAGATTATTTATATATATTATTTATTGTTAGAAATCAGTCTGATTTTTTTTTTTTTTTGTGTCCTGACCCAATAAGTTAAAAAAGTATTGGTAGTTAAACTGTTCTGCAACTGTACCAAATAAAAAAGCCATTGTTAGATTGTTAGATTTAATTGTTAGAAGACAGTCTGAGTCACTCAAGTTATATGAAGATGAATTTCTGAATTAAAGTGGAAAAAAAACTATTGGTAACTGTCCTGCCATCGTATAAAAACTCAATTAAAGCCTGAAATAAAAAAGATTATTATATTATATTATATTGGGCTGTCAATATAATATAATATAGGGCTGTCAAATCGATTATTCATATTTATATATGATTTATATTATAAATAAATCTAAATATATATTACATGCATTTCTTATGTATGTGTGTGTATTTATATGTACACACGTATATTATGGAAACAAACTTTTGTTTTGGTGTGATTAATCACGATTAATAGATTTTACAGCCCTATTATATTATATTATATTATATTATATTATATTATATTATATTATTTTATTTTATTTTATTTTATTTTATGTTATGTTATGTTATATTGTTATGTTATGTTATGTAAACGAGCTTTTATTTTGGTGCAATTAATCGTGATTAATCGCGATTAATCGATGTAAAAGCCCTATTATATTATATTACATTATATTATTGTCAGAAGACCATATATATATTATATAAGATCATATATAAATATATCAATATTTCACACCAAAGGATTAAATAGATTTAAAAAATTGCAATTCAATTAAAATGCACTGTTGTAATCCACTGTGAGTCGGGTTGCTGCCTACAGTATATAGACAGTAGAGTGTAATGAAGCTTGCTAGGGTTTGAGAGCTTTTAACACCTTCATGGTTTCTAGTCAGTGTTCGTGATACAGTGAGTCAATCGCAGGGTTTTGAAGTTTAGATGGACTCTGTTGATCTTTTTTCTTTTGCTCTTTCTGTCCGCAGGGTGCTGATGGAGTCCGTGGGCTGAAAGGAAACAAGGGTGAAAAGGTAATTTCAGAGTGTGTTCGTGCGACTGCGTGCGTATGGATACGTGCTGTTGTGAGTGTGTGTGTGTGTGCCGACGGCTAATGCACTGCTCCTGAGTCATTAATGTTTAATTTCTGCTTCTGAATATGGAAACCGGTGTACTCCAAGATGCATTTTTGACCTTCCCGCTTTGGTCATTAAAAAGTTGTATCCTGCGAGAGTGCAGCAGGAAAATAAGATCAGGCCCCGGCAAATAGCAGAAATAGCAGTTGCCATGGAGATCCGCCCCTTCGCATTTGTCAAAAAAGGGGTATTATATGCGTTCGGAAGTTTGCAATGCTCTCAGTGTCAAATCTTCTTTTCTTTCCTTCTCAGGGAGAAGACGGATTTCCAGGATTTAAGGGCGATATGGGCATCAAAGGCGACAGGGTAAGAGACTTATTCGCAGGTTGAAGAGGTTATTTGTGTTTGGCTTTATCTCTGGGGAATTATGGGATTTGATTTCTCTTTTCACTTGGGTCGAACTTTAATTGTCTGAGCATCTCTGAGGAGGCACATAAATCACAGTGGGTCTATATTTAGTGGAGCATCACTATTACTTTTGCTCATACTTGCTTTGGGATTTGAACAAATATAGGCACACACAGAAAAAAGACCTTAAGGACCATAACTTGGGAATTCGGCCACATAGAAATGTGATAAAAACACCTTAGCGATCACATATCCCCAGGCGACACGCTCCCGAGTCTATTTCAATGTCAAAATGCCAAAAAAGTCAAAATGCCGAGAAATTTTGTCATTCAGGACTTCAGAAGTTGGTCAAAGGGCATGTATAATATTCACTCAGCCTAATTGATCTGATTTTTTGCTGTTATAAAGTCCGCTGACTCATCCGCGGCGCTGGGTAAATGTCTGTAATGAGCAAATGCGCACCGCTCTAGGTTATTAGGGACCAATATGCAAACGCTTCTGGATTTAAGTGGGTGGACATTGTCCCAAATTACCATTTACTCTTGTTAAATGCCACGCACGCACACACTTCACTATTCCCATGCTGCTCAAGTGCCAGTCTTTGCCTATTATATCTCTAAAGTGGCAAAAACATTAAACACACACTAACCGTACACACAAACTTGTTTCATTATTAAATTCTGGGATCGCTTATTCAAAGATGTCCACCCACTTCACTTCACTTCACTTCACTTCACCTCACTTCACTCACTTCACTCACTTCACTTCACTTCACTTCACTTCACTTCACTTCACTCACTTCACTTCACTTCACTTCACTTCACTCACTTCACTTCACTTCACTTCACTTCACTCACTTCACTTCACTTCACTTCACTTCACTCACTTCACTTCACTTCACTTCACTTCACTCACTTCACTTCACTTCACTTCACTTCACTCACTTCACTTCACTTCACTTCACTTCACTCACTTCACTTCACTTCACTTCACTTCACTTCACTTCACTCCACTCCACTCCACTCCACTCCACTCCACTTCACTTCACTTCACTTTACTCACTTCACTTCACTCACTTCACTTCACTTCACTTCACTTCACTTCACTTCACTTCACTTCACTCACTTCACTTCACTTTACTCACTTCACTTCACTCACTTCACTTCACTTCACTTCACTTCACTTCAGAAACATTCGAAGACAGCCCTTTTTAATTTTCAGCAATTAGGAGATGAAAATAAGTAAAATAAGTAATTAAATTATCATTTAAAAAAAAGTGAAGTTGTAGAATTCTAGGAGGTGGATTAAGAAATAATTTTTAGTTGGTCATTTTTTTTGGGATTAATTAAATTAGTAAATATTGTATGTATTATTATTATTATTATTATATATATATTTTTTTGTCATTTTAGCTTATTTTAAAGCTGGTTTTGTCTTATTTTAAAACGTTTTAAGTAATCTTGGTGCCCTTGGAAGTTTGCTTTAAATATTTTAATTATTTAAAATAATTAATTGTAAAAATAACACAATTTTAACATTCTAGAAATTTGGGGGTGAATAAATACATTTAAAAAATATTGTAATTTTCATGGTTTTAGCTCATTCTAAAGCTTGTTTTGTCTTATTTTAAAAAATGTAAGTCATTTTGAGGCCCCCTTGGAAGTTTGCTGAGGAATTTAAAGGGACTTATTCTATAATTTTTTCATGTATTTTTCCCTTGAAAGCAACTTTTATTATTTATACATTCAATTATTACATCAGTCAATGTTAATGTAAATGTAAATTAAGTATTCTCTGATATGACTGGCTGGCATACAGCTGTAATTTATCGTATCATTGTATGTATCATTCATCAGAACAGACCTCTAAAAAAGATAAAAATCTCTAGTTTCTGAGGGAAATGTCTCATATAAATCCTAATGTATTCAGGGAGAACTTGGTGCTGCTGGACCCAGAGGTGAAGACGGGCCTGAGGGACCCAAAGGAAGATCTGGTTTACCTGGAGATCCTGGACCACTCGGGTCGACCGGAGAGAAGGTGAGTGTATATCTATATATGCATCGTGAAGTTTGTCAGTGTTTTGTCACGACTGATTACTTATGTTTCTTCTGTGTACTTTGGTTTTAGGGTAAGCTCGGTGTGCCCGGGTTGCCAGGTTATCCAGGAAGACAAGGCCCCAAGGTAAATACACCCGATCTGCCTGTGATTAGCCAGCATCCACAGCGGCCGTGTTCGATTGTGTCCATGTATTGATAGAAGGACAAAGTTGTGTGTGTGTGTGTGTGTGTGTGCGCGCATGCATTAGAGCGGGATTGGAAGGCAGACATGGTTGAACTTCTTGATCAAAGCTAAGTGGATTTACCCATAATGCCATCTGGTGTCAGCTTTCCATTTGACCGTGACCCAGCATGCACTGCTGCAACAGCACTTTTCTTCTCTTCTCTTCTCCTCCTTTTATCCCTCTCTCCTTCCTCCCTTTGATGGACCTGTGAATTAATCCCTCTCTCTCTTTTCCTCTTCAGGGTTCTCAAGGATTCCAGGGATTCCAAGGAGCCAGTGGAGAGAAAGGCACGAGGGTGTGTAAAAAAGAGTTCTCCTGTCTCATTGTATTTCTCTCACGCACCCTTTTTCCTCATCTTATTTTATTTATGTATTTTGAGTAGCGAAAAGATATATGCTCACTGGTTTTCTCTCGAGTTTGTGGATTTTGAGAAAGAAATGCAGGGTAATCATTTAGGCTAACATAATGCAAACGATATAATATAACATGTAGAATATGACTGATGTAATATAAGCCATTTCAATAAATGCAATTCGATTAATCTTATGAAGTGAGCAAGAAAATTGATTTAGCTCTATTCCAGTTAGATTTTTATTCTCTGTCATGTTATTTTAAGATATTCAAAACAAAGCAATTCAGAAGTTCAGAAGCATCATTAGGGGAATATTTAACTAAATCAAAAACTGTTAAAAACATATTAATTGAAATAAAGCTGAAGTAATATAAATTATAAATATTAGATAAATTATAGATAAACTATAAATAAATATTAGATAAACTATAAATTAACTGAAAACTGAAAATATTAAAATAAATAGGAAATAAAAAATAGCCCAAATAGGAATATTTATAATAATTATAACAATAATAAATGACAAAAGAACATAAAATTACTAAACGTAAAAAAAAAAGAAAAAATGTGAAAATATAAGAATAAAGCAAAAACTAAAACTGAAATAAAAGTGAACCTAAATAGTAATATTTAAACTAAAAAATCCAACCAAAAACTAAATATTAAACCAAAATTAAAAAGAAAACTGAAAATATAAAAATATAGAAATAATACAAAAAAGTATATAAATAATACTAAAATAGCACACTGCCTAAAAATGAAAATTGTCATCTTTTACTCACCGTCATGTCATACCATAGGCAGAATAAATAAAAATGACAAAAACACCAACAAAGAATGTAATAAAAGTAATAATTTCAGCTTGTGCACACTATAGGGTTTTGTCTCAGTGTCTCAGAGCTAACCGTCTCTGAGCTGTAGTGTGTGTGTTATCAGAGCCCTTATGGCCAAGAAAAGCTGGGAAAGGCCCTGAGTAAACCCCCAGCTCTCCGCACGGATGCTTTATTGGCTGTATATCATCACATTTAAGCTGAGAGCAGCAGCCGGCTGCCATTAGGAAGACAGTGCAGTCTCCCATAAACACATTATAATCCAAAAACCTCTTATTCTCGCAAGCCATTAAACACACACACACACACACACACACACACACACACACACACACATACTCTCAGACTGCATTCATTTGTTGACGCAAAACTTTCTTTGTTCCACCATAACTATCTGCATGAAGTATTCACGAGATGGAGAGATGCTAATATCATCTACAGATAATCAAATTAATCACAATGTTCTACTAGGCTGAAAGAAATATTGCTTATGGTTTTGTTTAAATGACACAAATAATGACCATCATTTTTAATGACTGAATTCGCTGAAAAGAGCATTTGAACAGAAAGTGAAGCATAAGAATTTAAAAGCACACATTTATTTAGTTATCTCTACTTCTCCTAAATTTTAGGTAATATTTTTTATTAAAACAAAAATAGTATTCAGTTAATAATTGTGTATACAGTGTAGTTTAATTGTTATATATTATTATTGTATTTATAATATTTTTATATTTTTATATTTTAAATATAACAAATACCTTTTAAAAATAAATAATATGAAATGAATAATTATTCACTCGATGGACAGTTTAATTATTATATATTATTGTTCATTTAAACATATTTATATATTTATTTTACTGGAATTTATTAAATATAACAGATATCCTTTAGGAATAAATAATGTTATATTGATAATTATTCATGCTAAGCACAATTTAATTATTATTGTTAATTAAAATATTTATATTATTATAATGTATTAAATATAACATATCTTTAAAACATTTTTTAAAAACTTATTTTATTAGAATGTATTCCTTATAATATCTTTTAAAAATAAAATAATAATAATAATAAAAGTAATAATAGGGAACTGAGATATATTTGTTTTTTATTTTTCCATTAATTCACGTTATGCTCTCTCACAAACAGGGGACAGCAGGAAAGCCGGGACCCCGAGGACAGAGAGGACCCACGGTAAGGCAACAAAGTTAGGACAAAAACAAACAAGACGTGCCCTTTTGCTGATCAGTTTAGGACTGATTTCACACACTGCTTTCTCATACTTCTTGTGATCGTTTCTGTAGGGACCCCGTGGTGAAAGAGGGCCGAGGGGACCAACTGGTAAAGCAGGACCAAAGGTGAGACTGTCCTTTTTCATCACTATTCTGCATTTGTAAGATTATATAATGAAATGAGATGATGACATATTGAGGAAAAGTCACTTTTCAGGGTCTTCTGTCTTAGTAAATAAATAATATGACATGCAAATGTAAAAACACAAAGAAAATCATATCATGCATGCATTCAAGCGTACATAAAACAAGTGTTTGGCACATAAAAATTCAATTAGGAAAAGCACCCCACACCCTGACTGACTGAAAGAAAACATCTCAGGCTTTCATCATTTGTTGTGCTGTGAAAGCTAAACGTGTTGACAGGAGCAAATGGTGCTCCTATTACATTTCAAAACGCAAGGTTTGTCTCCACGGCTCAGCTGGAGCAAATCCAAATGCAACAGGGATTTTACCGATCTGCATATCCTCTATCAGTCAAACAAATCTTTAATGGCACCCATTACCTCGGGCAATAAGCATAAGTTTTACGATATTAATAATTAATCGCATTTGCATGGACGTTTATACAAACATTCTGAAATATTAAAATGTTCTGTTCAATTTTTCTTTTCTCCTTTGTTTGTCCTCCCCTCCTTCACAGGGCAACTCAGGAAGCGACGGCCCCCCAGGACCACCCGGTGAACGGGTACGGTATAAATAATAATCAAATCCTTCCAAAGTATTGATTATTGCTTCAGAGACAGAGATTTAACGCTCTTTTGTGTCCTGTCTTACAGGGTCCGTTAGGATCAGCGGGACCTACTGGATTCCCCGGCCCTAAGGGTCCACCGGTAAGTGATGTTAACACTAGAAATAACTATAGAAAACCTTCTTTCATCCAATCATCTGTCCTGATTTCCTCTCTCTCTCTCTCTCTCTCTCTCTCTCTCTCTCTCTCTCTTGTTTTTAGGGTCCTTCCGGAAAGGACGGGCTGCCCGGACACCCTGGCCAGAGAGGAGAGACTGTGAGTGGCGTCTGATATGGACACGCACACTTTTATTCACACACTTGTGCTTAAAAAACTCACTTGTATTTTCTTCTGGCAGGGTTTCCAAGGTAAAACTGGACCTCCCGGACCCCCAGGTGTAGTCGGACCTCAGGTAAATGGAACACAGAATGCTGAAGTTCAAATGTTCAAATTTTCAAAATGATTCTAGAATTACACACTAAATAGTGCCTCTAGTAAGATTCCAATAAAATGGGTTTGCAAAATGGACGAAAAACCTGAGGGTGAACCTCATGAATAATATCATGAAATGTTTGGCCCATTAAAAAAAAAAAAAAAAGTGTA